CCCAGCTTCTCTTCCTAACACTGGCAAGAATAAGGCTCAGACACGACCTTTCTCGTTCCTTTCCGTCGGCAAATCACTGTAGGATCCATGGGGAGGAGCACGCAAACTGGACACTCCTTATTTAAGAATTATTTATTCTATTTAAGAATTATTAGAATACAATAATCACACAGGAACAGGTGATGGTTACAAGGATAAAATAAAATACATCTGCTTTCAGTTTTGAAAATAATATATAAGGATAGTAAAAACAAAACAAAACAAAAGAAGAAGTGCAAACGCAAATATTTATGGCACAACACTGAATGTAAAAAAGAAAGAAAATTAATACAAAAAAATGGACAATAATCATCATGCTTAAAATGAAGATATACTAAAGTACATAAGATCTGCCCTGAGTAAGAGTAGTAAAAATGTGCCACGAAACTTTTATGATTATCAATAAAGAACACACACACACAAATACTGAATTGGCCTTGTATTACTAAAATAGAACGACTAAAAATTTAAACTCAAACATAGAACTCACAAAACACAACATTAGAATTCTGATACAACACGAACTTAAAAAGTGTAAAACTAAGCGGCAGTTCAGTATCATGAAGCTCCGCGGTTCTAAAAGGCCCGACACCAGTAAGTAAACAATCTTACTCTGAACTGCATTATACATATGTCCTTAGTTTACGCCTATATAACATGAGAGGTGTGTACATAAAAACGATAATAAAGTGTATGTAGGCTTCGGGAGATCCGTCTGCTGTGGCTCCTCCAGGATCGTACGAATTTCCGCGGGCCAGGGATAAGGTATTGGGTTTAGGGTTCTTTTAGCGTAGCAGGGACATAGAAATAAGGGTTTGCAGAAAGGAAAGGTAGGAACAGATCAGAGATAAGGGCAGATAGAGATAAAGTATAGAAAAGAGAAAGGCAAGGATAGTGAGGGTGGATCTATAGTATAGGTCCCATAGAATAAAGGGCAAGAGTATTGCAAAAAAAAGGGGGGGGGAGTAGAAGGAAGAGTAGGGAAAGGGAAAACAGATAAAGATGAACAAACAAAAGAAAAGCTTTGAGACTAAGCTAGACTAGCATAAAGGAAATCTTAAAACCATGAACATAAGTGCTAAAGATTTGTAGAACCGAAATATGAATAGAAAGAAGAAATTAAGGAAGGAAAGGAAGACAATGACAGGGAGAACAAAAAACACGACAAAAAACGAAAAGAGAGGAAGAGAAGGAGGAGAAACAGAAGTGAATATGTATATGTGTGTGTGTGTGTGTGTGAGAGAGAGAGAGAGAGAGAGAGAGAGAGAGAGAGAGAGAGAGAGAGAGAGAGAGAGAGAGAGAGAGAGGGAGAGAGAGAGAGGAGGAAGAGGGGTGAAGAGAGAGAGGAGGAAGAGGGGTGAAGAGAGAGAGGAGGAAGAGCAGCAGGGGTGGCTGAGTGAGAGAGAGAGAGGAGGGGGAGGAAGGGAGCAGGTGGGGGGGGGGAGTGGGGTAGAAGAAGGGAGGCCTAGAAGCCTCAGTTTCTCTCTCTCTGTCTCTCTCTCTTTCTCACTCTCTCTCTCTCTCTCTCTCTCTCTCTCTCTCTCTCTCTCTCTCTCTCTCTCTCTCTCTCTCTCTCTCTCTCTCTCTACCTCCACCTCCCCCCCTCTCTCTCGTTTACAAATTACGGTAAAAACACACACACACAAAAGAAAAAAAACTTAGCAGAAAGACGAAGATATAGATAGGGAGCTCATGAAGTTATTAAAAGAATAAAACAAATAAACAAATAAACAATTGATAATTGATGCCTCTTATCATGATCATTTAAACTGATTCTAATTATAGTGATGATTATGATAATAATGGTAACAAAATTAGTAAGAATAATGAGAACGATGTTAATAATAGTAGGGATAATAATAGAAATTATTATAACAATAACAAGGAATAGTGATGATGATGATAAAAATAATAACAATATTAATAACAATGATAATTATAATGATAACAATAATGATAGCAATAATGATACTGATAATAATAACAATGGTAAGATAAGGATAACAACAAAAATGATAGTAATAGAATAACAGAGAGGTGAGGGGAGAAAAGAGAGAGACAAAACAGAGAGAGCGAGAGAGAGAGAGAGAGAGAGAGAGAGAGAGAGAGAGAGAGAGAGAGAGAGAGAGAGAGAGAGAGAGAGAGAGAGAGAGAGAGAAATTCATAGATGTATAAATAAAAAGAAAGAGAGAGAGAGAGAGCATATGCAGCGCATTGTCTCCACAACCGACTCCGTATCACGAGGCTGAGAGGAAGGCATCAGATGTATGGCTAAGATAGATCACATAGGGAGGCTGGATGGCTCTTGGGAAACAATCGCGAGTGGAAGGGGGAGAGATGTATACATACATAAGTGTATACATTTACATAGGTAAAAAATATATAAATGTATAAATATATGTATACATGTATCATATATATATATACATATATATATATATATATATATATATATATATATATATATATATATATATATATATATATATATATATATATATATATATATATATATATATATATATATATGTATACATATATAAGTGCATACATTTACATAGGTAAAAAAATATATAAATGTATAAATATATGTATACATGTATCCTTCATTATATATATATATATATATATATATATATATATATATATATATATATATATATATATATATATATATATGATACTGCCGCGATAGCTCAGTGGTTAGAGCACTGGACTCCCACCCTCGTGGTCCCGGGTTCAATTCCCCATCGCGGCAGTTGTAAAAAATGCCTGCGCTCTGACTGCTACCTCGAGCCCGAGAAAACGACATATCGGCTTGAGAAGTCAAACGCAAGTGTCGTAGGGGAAGTCACCGCCGTGGTAGAAGTGTTAACGCGCCGAACTGCGGTTGATTAGGAAGGGCATTCAATCAGGCAACGGTGACACCGCCATATAACCTCTCAACTGAATTGAGAGAGGCCTATGTCCTGCAGTGGAATGAATGGCTGTTGAAAAAAAAAAAAAAAAAAAAAAAAAAAAAAAAAAATATATATATATATATATATATATATATATATATATATATATATATATATATATATATATATATATACATATATATATAAATATATGTATTATTATTATTTTTTTTTAATTATTTTTTTAACAGGCATTCATTCCACTGCTGGACATAGGCCTCTCTCAATTAATTATTGAGAGGTTGTATGGAAGTGTCACCCTTGCCTGATTGGATGCCCTTTCTAATCAACCGCGGTTCGCTAACACTTGTGCCACGACGGCGACTTCCCCTACGACACCTGCGTTTGACTTCTCAAGGCGATATGTCGTTTTCTCGAGCTCGAGCAAGCAGTCGGAGCACACACACACACACACACACACACACACACACACACACACACACACACACACACACACACACATATATATATATATATATATATATTCAACAGCCATTCATTCCACTGCAGGACATAGGCCTCTTTCAGTTCAGGCATTTTTACGACTGCCGCGACATGGAATTGAACTCGGGACCAAGAAGGTCGGAGTGCAGTACTCTAACCGCTGGACCATTATACATACATACATACATACATATATATATATATATATATATATATATATATATATATATATATATATATATATATATATATATATTACAACCATTCATTCCACTGCAGGACACTGCAGGCTTCGCTCAATTCACTACTGAGAGGTTATATGGCAGTGTCACCCTTGCCTGATTGGATGCCCTTCCCAATAAACCGCGATTCGGCGCGCTAACACTTGTGCCACGGCGGTGACTTCATCTATGACACCTGCGTTTGACTTCTCAAGGCGATATATTGTTTTCTCGGGCTCGAGCCAGCAGTCGGAGCACACACACACACACACACACACACACACACACACACACATATATATATATATATATATATATATATATATATATATATATATATTCAACAGCCATTCATTCCACTACAGGACATAGGCCTCTTTCAGTTCAGTATTAGGTTATATGGCGGTGTCACCCTTGCCTGATTGAATGCCCTTCCTAATCAACCGCGGTTCGGCGCGTTAACACCTGTGCCACGGCGGTGGCTTCCCCTACAACAACTGCGTTTGACTTCTCAAGGCGATATGTCGTTTTCTCGGGCTCGAGTCAGCAGTCAGAGCGCAGGCATTTTTACGACTGCCGTGACGGGGAATTGAACCCGAGACCACGAGGGTCGGAGTCCAGTACTCTAACCACTGTATATATATATATATATATATATATATATATATATATATATATATTCATATATATATATATATATATATATATATATATATATATATATGAATATATATATATATATATATATATATATATATATATATATATATATATATATATATATACACACACACACACACACACACACACACACACACACACATACACACACACACACACACACACACACATATATATATATATATATATATATATATATATATATGTATGTATATGTATATATATATTTACACCCATTCATTCAACTGCTGGACATAGGTCTCTCTCATTCACTATTGAGAGGTTATTTGGCAGTGCCACCCTTGCCTGATTGAATGCCTTTCCTAATCGACCGCGATTCGGCGCGCTAACACTTATGCCACGGCGGTGACTTCCCCTGCGACACCGGTGTTTTTGACTTCTCAAGGCAATATGTCGTTTTATCGCCGTGAGATCGGGCTCGAGACAGCAGTCAGAGTCCAGTGCTCTAACTACTGGACCATCGCGGCTGTAGTGATATATGTGTGTGTGTGTGTGTGTGTATATAGTGAGTCATTTCCAACCCCCAACTCCACAAATCCTGTCCCTCTGTCACCCAACCGCCTCACTGACGGGTGGCGATCATCAGAGATCAAACCTAAAATCGGGAAACGGGCAGAAACCGAAAGCCACGTACGCGAGGGTCTGCGCCACGTTGTTCCAGAAGTTGCTCGTCGGCTGCGTCTGGCTCGGCGGGCGCGGGGCGGACTCGGTCAGGTACCCGGGCGTGGGCAGGCGCTGGGTCGGGGAAGGGGCGGGCGCGCGAGTGACGTCAGAGGGCTTCTCCTTCTCGCTCTCTTCCTCGTCACATTTCTCCTCATCGACAGCGACGTCAGATGCCTTTTCCTCGGCGGTGTCGGCCTCATCAGTGACGTCAGAAAGTTTCTCCTCTGTGACGTCATAATTCTCTTCCTCGACAATGATGTCAGACACTTCTTCCTCGACAATGATGTCAGAGGCTTCCTCCTCGGGAATGATGTTAGAGGCTTCCTCCTCGGCAATGATGTCAGAGGCTTCCTCCTCGACAATGATGTCAGAGGCTTCCTCCTCGACAATGATGTCAGAGGCTTCTTCCTCGACAATGGTGTCAGAGGCTTCCTCCTCGACAATGATGTCAGAGGCTTCCTCCTCGGCGATGATGTCAGAGGCTTCCTCCTCGACAATGATGTCAGAGGCTTCTTCCTCGACAATGGTGTCAGAGGCTTCCTCGACAATGATGTCAGAGGCTTCCTCCTCGACAATGATGTCAGAGGCTTCTTCCTCGACAATGGTGTCAGAGGCTTCCTCCTCGACAATGATGTCAGAGGCTTCCTCCTCGACAATGATGTCAGAGGCTTCCTCCTCGGGAATGATGTCAGAGGCTTCCTCCTCGGGAATGATGTCAGAGGCTTCCTCCTCGACAATGATGTCAGAGGCTTCCTCCTCGGCAATGATGTCAGAGGCTTCCTCCTCGGCAATGATGTCAGAGGCTTCCTCCTCGGCGATGATGTCAGAGGCTTCCTCCTCGGCAATGATGTCAGAGGCTTCCTCCTCGGCAATGATGTCAGAGGCTTCCTCCTCGACAATGATGTCAGAGGCTTCTTCCTCGGGAATGATGTCAGAGGCTTCCTCCTCGGGAATGATGTCAGAGGCTTCCTCCTCGGGAATGATGTCAGAGGCTTCCTCCTCGGACAATGATGTCAGAGGCTTCCTCCTCGACAATGATGTCAGAGGCTTCCTCCTCGGGAATGATGTCAGAGGCTTCCTCCTCGACAATGATGTCAGAGGCTTCCTCCTCGACAATGATGTCAGAGGCTTCCTCCTCGACAATGATGTCAGAGGCTTCTTCCTCGACAATGATGTCAGAGGCTTCCTCCTCGACAATGATGTCAGAGGCTTCCTCCTCGACAATGATGTCAGAGGCTTCTTCCTTGACTGTGACTTCAAATGCCTTCTCCTCGGTGGTGTCGTCCTAGGGAGTGACGTCAGAAAGCTTCTCCTCGGAAGTGACGTCATTTTTCTCGTCCACGTCAATGATGTCACAAGTAGTAATGTCCTTTTTCTCGTTAATGACATCAGATACTTCCAACTCGATACTGACATCAGAGGCCTCCTCGATGATGACGTCAGAGGCGTTCTCCTGGACAATGACGTCAGAAGGCAT